CAATAATACCATATGATCGAAAAAAAAACTGCGTCCCGTCGGCCTCCCCTCCAGTTGGCTTGGACATGACGATCGATGACATTCCCCATATAATTTTCCATATAAAATGACAGCGATTTTCATTTCATAGTATGGATTTGAAAACAGAAAAAGTTGAGAAATAATGCGTAATCTAATAGGCCAGTTCCAGCGGGAACAAAAGAAATGCAAATCAGGAACTGCATGGTTTAGATGAAGTGGATAATTCAAAATGGTTTGCTTTTGCTTTTACAGTACGTCTGTCCGTTCTGTAGCTACGGGGTATCCGTGAGAGGGGAAACGATATTCTCTCGATGTTTTTCGTAAAAAATAGACGACGCGTCCCATCAATAAAAATTCCACAAATTTGCAAGTAGCTAATAAAATGAGTGGGCGGAGCGACTTGCGGTGACGCACTCGTCAAATCGACGTATAGAATATATTGCTGTTTATTTAAATGTTTTTTGTCTGCATTCCTTTCATAGACGCAGATCCAGCAGACGAGACGTACTGTAAATTATTAATGTTTTTAAAAGACAGAAACACACCACGAGAAACAGCCGAGGCAAGTTTTGAAAAGATAAGCTAATTGAGTTCAACTGTATCTAGATCTTGCTGGTAGGCTATGGCGAACTCAAAACCGCTTTTTTTCTCGACTTTCTTTCCCTTAGTTCAAAAATAATTACGCACGCCGCTGCTGCGAGCTGAACCTCTTTCTCGCCAAAACGATTCATGACTACGAAAACTATAATGTGGACGGCTCCCGGGTTTTTAACATGTTACATGTAGCTTGTTAAATAGCAATGTTATATAACATGTTACTAAATGTGGACCCTCCTTTACATTTAGAGATGCAAACCGATCAAACCATATTTGTAGAATGTAGAATGTTTGGTGAGGAGGTTAATCACCGCGACCTTACATATCTATTGTGTGTCCCCCTTTCTTGAGTTATAACTCCTCATACAGTCCCAGGGATTTGACAAAAACCAGTATTTGAGACGGTTTTACGGAGGTTAGTTCTCCATCTCCGATATCAGTCGTACCAAAGTTTTTAGCACGAATGGTTGTCGTCTCGGTGCACTCAGTGATGAGGTGTTTCCTCAATTTTCCCCACAAATTGTTGAGGATAAATAAACACGTAACATATTTAGCATGCCTGTTTTAACCGAGTATAACCACAGTGTAACTAAATAAATGGCGAAAGAACATCGTAGGAAGCCAATTTTTTTTTAATTATAAATCATATAATAGGCCCATTTTGAATTTTTTTTCGAAAGTAACTTACTAAAATGTATTACTTCTTTTATTCTAGAGTCACTTTTCTATATTTTTTAATTTTTATGGTTGCGAGCGGTAATTGTTTCGCTCGCAATGTTCGCTCCGGACGCACACTCTTTTTTTGTTTCTTTCTTTTGTTTTCCAACGTATACGTATTATCGCAGAAAAATGACCCTTTTCAGCCTTTTTCCATGTTTATTATCACAACGATACACCGCATCTAGAACATTGACTCTTTTGTTGGTATTTGCACCTCAAAAAAAAGGGTAAAGCTTCATTCAAAACCTCAAAATTAGTGGTTTTTCCATTATAAAGAATGTTTATCCATCGCTCAACGTTACGTCATCATTATTTTATTTAACAAATATGAGTTTTAGGGTATGTGTGAGATCAATTCAAATTGTTCAGAAAATTTTAAGTACGTACTTATATCGATCGAGTGAGTTCCGTTTTTTTTCGGTATTTATTAACTTTTTCTTGAACTCTTCATCAGTTACGATCGCTTTAGTTCCAATCCTTTGGACTGTTGAAATTTCTATTTCTAAAACATCAGCAACTCGCTATATGATTTAAAAAAGCTATCAATTTGTATTTTACATAGGAATATTACATCTTTGCATTGCACTTTTTTCATGTACGGCGTCCATGGGCCAAAAGTATCCTACCAGCGTCTCTTTCTCTAGAAAAATAATTTATAAGCTTAGCAACGACCTCTTGCAATAAAAAAATTGACTTTTGTTTGGCAGCCACAATCGATTTTTAATTTTGACATTGATCGATGTTTGTTAATAAAATTATAACCCCAAATCAAATGACAATGACAATTACTAAAAAGAATATGCCCTAGATCATATACAAGTTTAGATTGAAAAGTGCCCATAAGGACAATGTAAACACTATTTGGCGCTATTCTTGCAACGGTCGCGACCCAAAACTTTTGAAAATTTTGGAGCGGTTCGGCTTTTTCCGGAAATATTGTTTATTTAAATATAAGAATAAGAAGTAATCTAACAATATATAAGAAAATTAACGTCGTACATGGAATTGCCCAGAAGTACCGCGACCGCGTGTGCAACAAAAAAAGAAGATAAATGGAAGTCGTTGATATGTTGGCGACAGTTTCCATAGTGATTTACTTATCCACGTAAGTATATACACTGCCGTTCTTTAAAAGATCAGCCTGGGGGCGGACTTTTGTTTACTTCATCAGCTGTACATACTTAGATATTGGGTTAGATTCCGTTTCATATTTTGTCGGTTGATTTTTGGTTTTAACTCTATGATTTTTGGTATTATTTATTATTGTAGTGCAAAAAACTAATTATTTTGGTATTTAAGTGACATAAACTACTACCAGATATATGGTAACTCTCGGTTTCGCATAAAAAAATAGAAAAATTGAAAAATTACACGTTGTGTAAGTGATTTAACCTAAAAGTGCCCATACATTTTTTACTTATCGTGATTTTTGTGTGTGTTTTTTAAGACTCTAACAATTCATCAATAAAGCTTAAGTGGAGTGTGTTTTTGGTGCTATGCTTCATCTTTGTTGTGTTCCTGGTGGAAAGGATAGTTATATTAGGCAGCCTAAAGTGTCGGAAGAGCAAGAAAAGTGGGTACGAATTATAAATCAAGAGAATTCTATTGAAAATATCTTTAATAAATTTAAAAATAATATTCTCCCATGATGGTATTAATGAAAACTAGACAACTATGTTTATTTTATTCATATTGTGGAATCTCCACTCAAGTGTTGTTGGTTCAGCTTCGATAGATTCAAACACGTAAGTAGTAATTATGATCTAGGGAAAAATAAAGAATATGTGTATTAAAGATCATGAAAAAGATTATTACTTTGAGTTCATTTTAAAAAGATTTTTGTAAAGACAAGACAGATACAGTTTAAAAGAAGAATGTGTTTTTGTTTGATAATATATAATGTATGTCAAGCATAACATATATTTGTTCAGTAATTTTTTAATGAAAGGTGTTGATTATTTATAATACCAAATTAATATCAAATATTTAAGTGATGGCTCAATACAATATGAATAAAATAACAATAAAATTGGTATATTTGCATAATACAAAGTTTTAAGAATAAAGGTGTTACTAAAAATACTAAGAAATTCATATTTCTTTGTTTTCATTGGTCTAATGTTATTTACATTTTACGTAAGAATTATACCGTATCATCGAAAAAAATCGGCGTCTAGTTGGCTTGGAAATGAACATCGATGACATTCCCTAAATAACTGTACACATAAAATAATTAACTAGAATTTTACAATCTTGGAAAATTTGATATTCTTGAACCTTGTTTCTAAATATTCTAAATTTTTTGATTTTCTTGGGATTTAGGTTCGGGAAAAACGCTGATTAAGTTTTCATTTGGTTTTCATTATTATTATTTGGTTTAAAAAAAACTTTTCGGCTAACATTATAGCCTTCATCAGTGTTGTGTCAATTGAAAAAAATAGTGTCGAATATAATCCAAAAAATTACATATAAAATATTCACACCACACACAAAATGTTTACTGCGTACTCCATAGTCAATGTAGATAATTTTAGTGTTAAGAATAATAATTTTAAAAAATATGTGGTCATCTTTGAAGTTTATATTAGTTTATTATATGCAGTAAACATTATGAGGTGTGAATTATATTGTATATGTAATTTTTTGGATTATACTCGACACTATTTTTCTCATATGACACAACACTGATGAAGGCTATAGTTAGCCGAAACGTTTTTTTAAACCAAATAAAAATAATGAAAACCCAAATGAAAACTTAAATCAGAGTTTTTCCTGAACCTAAAATCCCAAGAAAATCAAAATTTTAGAATAATTTTACTTATAAAATGCCAGCGATCTTCATTTCATACCCATCGCTGACGCCTTTTTTTAGATAATATTGTATTATTTGTAAATATAATTTTTCGAACATTGATACTTGCACAATATACATATAAATTTTGTGCGTGCAAATAATAATACATCACTATTAGTAGATATTGAATGTTTTTTGTTAAATTAGATCGATTTTCAAACCCCAAAATTTAAAATATATTTACATTTTACCCATTATCTTATGTACCTATACATTTTTTGTACATTGTAAAATATTTGCTGCATTTGTATGGTTCATAGTTTATTTGCCAAAGTATTTATTACTGTAAATAGATATATATGTTGTAGTTATTAACTGTATATTATGTATATTTCATGTAAACTATATCATTTTTAAAATACAAACCAAAAATCTGAGGAATAATTATGTTTTCCATGTATTCTACAACATATTTATTAATCCGTTATATCTAACTAGCGTGACGTCATAAATCTCGCCCGCGGGCTGATCTTTTAATAGAAGGCACTGGTATATAATATTATGATCTAGGGAAAATGCAGTAATTTACGAAATGCCGTAATGACGTCACCAATCTCTTTCGTCTGGTTGTCAAGTGATTGAGAGAATGGCTAAACATTCTATGCTTTATACTTATAATTTCACGATTATTCACAAAGTCTAAAAAATACAATTAAAATTAATGGAATATCTTAGCAACAGCTTGCGGTAGTCAGTTGTATCCATAGAGAAAACCTAATAATTCATTGATAATCAAAGACCAAAATGACCTTACGGGGAGCCAATAATTGAGACGTATGACGACACTAAAACTCACGATACTCGAGACAAAGAAAGAGCGTCTCTTTTTCCTTGTCTGGCTGAACTGCGCAACCGCGGCCAAATTTAACTGAATTTCTGAATTTTACCGCTAAAAGGCAGTCTCTTGACTATTTGTGAGAACTGTGTGAGTCGTTTTCCTTTGTCCTCGTCTTTTAGCCGTAGACTCGATAAAAAGCATATTTTATTAGCACACCAGTTTTATTATAAGGCTACATATTTATTCCATTGCTGTGAATGCGTTTTGGAATCCAGCGATTCACAGAACTTTGATAAATAATTATTACCTGTTTGCCGCCTTTTATAGGCTTACAGAATAGATTAGTTTTTATTTGTGTTATTTTACTTGTTTTTGTGAAAAACACAGTTTATATTTAGTTCATTTGTTAACTGTTTTTAAAAATTGCTAATTATTACTCCTTGTTAATTGTTTACTACGTTAAGTGATATCAGTGTGAATAATCGAACATGGAAGCTCATACTTCACAGTCCCAGACCAAAAACAAAAAGTGCCCACTTTGTGATTTGGAATTTTCATGTGTTTCAGCAAGGAATAGACATATGAAAAATTTTCATAACCAAATATTAAATACAAATGCTAGGAAATCACATATTATTTGCCCACTGTGTACTGAAAACGAGATAGTTTGTGGAAGTTACAAGATATTGGAAGAACATTTGGAGGTAAACCATGGAATAAAATTGGAAATAGAAACGCATAACTTTGCTACAAGGGAAAGTTATGAAGAGTGGTTTGAAGAACAGAAGATTAAGACAAATTATGTATCCGCCAGATCCAAAAAAATTAATGAATATGTGGAAAAATCTTACAATTGTAATCGCAGTAATTCAGAAGGTAGATAAAATGGAAGTAAAGGTACAAAATCACAATTTTTTTTTTCAGGACACATCAGCAAATGTTCTAAAAGGACAGAGAAGGCTGGCGGTTCAATAAAAATATATGGAATTTGCCCATCTCGTTTGAATATTAAAATCTGGCAGACAGGTAAATAAGTGAATTTAAAAATTATTATTCTATTACCTTAAAACTATTATGAGTGAGTTGAAGTTAATATTTATATTACTACAAAATGTATTGTAGAAGAGACTACTGTAAAATTCTGGAAATCACACGTAGGTCATGAAGAAGAGATCAGAAGTCAGCACTTGTCAGAGAAGGAAAAAAACGAAATAGTTTCAAAGTTATCTAGTGGTGTAACTGTAGAGAGAATTATTTCTGATGCTAGAAAAATAACATCTGAGACTGAGAACATTCAAAGGATAAATATACTGAATAGGAAAGACGTGTCATATCTAATGAAGAAACATAATATAATGAAGAAAAAACACGAAAATAGCATGATAGCTGTAGCATTAAAAGTGGAAGAGTGGAATGCTAATGGCAAAAATTATTGTTTCTTCTTCAAGCAACAAGGTAGCATAGCTTCATATAAATAATAATAATACATTTAACAGTTTGGGTTAATGAGTACTTAATATGATCATATTTTTTTTATCTAAGGTGAAAGTCATCCAGTATTACGTGTAGAAGATTTTTGTTTAGGATTTATGAATGAAATTATGGAACGTAAATTAATGGATTGCTGCAGAATAATCTGTATGGATGGGACACACTGCACAAATCAAAAGGGGATGGATTTAACTATCATGCTAGTGAAAGATGATAGAAATATGGGTTTTCCAGTGGCTTTCTTTCTAAGTAATAGATTAGATCAGGTAGTTCAAGAGGTTTTTTTGCAGGCGCTGAGGGACAAAGTTAACAGAGTAATAGAACCACAGTATTTTATGACAGATGATGATTCAAAATACTACAACGCATGGGTAAAAACAATGGGAACAACACCCAGAAGACTTCTGTGTAGCTGGCATATCATTAAAAATTGGGTTATTCAAGGAAGATCGAAAGTAAGGAACTAAATAGCCAACAATAATTTATTATTATTTTTTAATTTTCTGTATAAAACATAAAAGTATTTTTTTTTTCATTTCAGATTCGAAACGAAGAAATCAAAAAAACAATGAAGACAGATTTAAAGAAAATACTTAATGAGACCAAAGTGGAGAAGTTTGCACAGTTGACTCAGAAATATTTTCAAAAACTGCAAAATGCTGATGAACATGTGTTTTTGAACTACCTCACGAAGTACATATTTTTATTGCATCTAGTTTAACATAGCTTAATTTATTTTAAATATCTAATATGGATGAAAACTTGATTTTAGATATTATTACCAAAGTGAAGAAAGGATTACAATGTGGGCACATTGTCACAGAATAAATGCAGGAATTAATACAAATATGGCACTGGAAAGTTTGAACAACCTACTCAAAACTAATCAGTTGAAGAGAAAATCAAATATTACTATTGACAGACTATTGGAAGAAATTGAAAATTTGGTGGATGGAAAAATGTGGCAAAGGATTCTAATGGTTTGTTTATTTTAAATTCGCATATTTCCCTTGTGTTAAAATGTTTAAAAATTTTCTATGGATTTTTTTTATAGTTTGAAAGACCACACTCAAATACATACCAAGATAGAATTGTGACGAAAGCACATAAGTTAGCGGAAATAATGAAAGCTAACCATGTAGAGGTACTGGAGGTAGGATTTGGAGAATTTAGAGTTAAATCTTCCACAGGTAACAGTTTTTATAAAATACTATATAAAGAATTATGCGAAACAGAATGTAAAACTTTATATTGTAAAATATGTAAGGTGTGCATTCATCGCTATATATGTGATTGCCCAGAATATGCTATAAAAACTACCATTTGTAAACATATACATTTGGTATGTTTGCATGAGCATAGGCCGGGAAGCGAATCTGTTTTAGGAGATGTTGCTCAATTACTTTCAAAGAATAAGTCATCAGACATTAAAGAAGAACATAAAGAAGAAATTGAAGATTTTATTAGAGAGAAGAGATCTAACAACAATGATTTACCTATGATAGATGATACAGAGGACTACAATTTGACACAGCGGACAGAAATTGCTAATACTTTTAAAAACTTTATATTATCCTTAAATGGCGAGGCTTTCAAAAGGTAATGGGATTGTTTTCAATGTTTATGTATGTTCTAAGATTTAAGCAGTATTTTTTTAAAAGGGTTGTGGGGAAATATAGTTTAATAATGGATCAAGAAAATAGATTAGCAGGGCATAAAAGGAAAATGGATAAACAAGAGTTCTTTCCAACAAAGCGAAGGAAGTAGAGTATTGGTTTAGGGCTTTATTTATTTTATATTTCTGTGGGTTGGTTCTGGTTCTTGGTCTTATTTAAGTAAATATGTATTGACTATTGGTTAAGGGTTTTTATATTTATTTTGTACTTCTGTATATTAATATGGTTTTGGTCTTATTTAACTAAATATGTATAAACTATTGGTTAAGGGTTTTATATTTATTTTGTACTTACAATGTGGTGTTGTTTATTGTTATAATTATTGTATTGTATTGTTGTATTTTCTTGATATAGAACACCCATAAGTTTCTTGCAGTTTCTTCTTATGGGCTGTAATCGAAACTGCGGACATTCTAATAAAATTAGAACTATAAATTTGTTTTATTGTATAGTAATATATGTTACTGTAATTAAGCTAACAATTTTTCCAAAATTGTTTATTTTTCCATGAAAATATGTTCAATATAAGAACTGATATTTTAATAAAGATTCCAACTTGATTCGAAACATATTATTTCACTGCCCTGTACTGTAAAATTTTTTAACCGATCTTCATTCATATTTAGAACATAATGATAATAACTACAGCAGAATTCGAGAATAATGAGCTCTCTCCTAGTAAAGCTATGGTTCTCACTTACGCATCAAATAAGATAGTGATTATGCAATCTGCAAATGAAACAATTTTTAATTTACACCAATAATCAGTGCAATTTTGACTAAAATCACTTGATGTAGGTAAATCGCAAATCACTTGATGTAAGCAATATAGGTATTGTTACCAAATACCAGCCAAATACATTAACCACCTTTCTTCTCTAAAATGAGCAAATAATAGCAAATTATATTTCGGAACTTTAATATTTGTATATTTTTAAAAATATATGAATGCAGATAAGTTTTGAAATATAGCTATATTTCTAAAAGTAGTCTAAAAACTATAAAAACAAGATGAACAACCAAAGCAGTTAACTACTGTTAGCAATTTAGGATAATAAAATTATTGTTAGTTGGATTCTCAATTATTCATAATGTTCAAAATTCCCGCAAAGCGCTTCTCGCCGAACCAAACCGAACTCTCCGTGTTAGATCCGAATGCTTCCGAGGTTTTCGTGAGTTTTAGTGTCGTCTCAATAATTGGACAGTTCAAAATGCGCATGCGATTTCCTATTATTATGTTTCCAACGAAGATGCACCACCCGGTATATGCATAAATCTAACCAAGTTACCCAATTTAAATTTCAAGTATATGTGTGGAATAGTTGGAATTGTTTTTTAACGACACATCCAGTAAGCTTTTATCTATTCACTGGTGCGTGTCGTGACATCATCACGCGACAGCCTGTTAATTTTATTAATAGATCGACGCCAGATGGACAATTAAGCGGAAGGCCTTCGCCAGATCAACGACTCCATTGGTGAGATATAAAAACATAGACTCATACAATCATATTCCATAGGATTGGTATAATTTAAAATCAAATTTTGAAAACACACAAAATAAATAACACAATAAAATAAAATTAACACAAGACGAGTAATGACCGAAGTTTTTAAGATACAGCAAGTTTAAGTCTGATTGGTGACGTCAGACATAGCAACACAATAAAAGCAGGATGGCTGAAACAAGTTGCTGCTTTGGCTGCTATAATCCTGCCTTATCCTGCTTCAAACCCCGTACCAGCCACTCTAGTCGTTTTTAAAATAGAACGAATCGATTCCTGGTAATCAGTCGCACATTAAGATTAGGAATGATTTCTTTTTAACTTGATAAGTTTCAGCCTTAGGCTGCTATTTTTTTGCTTTATTTGCCTAAAATATCTATGAGCTTCCAAGCCATAAATAATTATACCGAACAGTTGAACAAAATAAGGCAGGTTCGGTGTTCTCAGGAGTAACTTTAGAGTTTTTAGTGTGACATCCGATAGCGCCTTAACGTACCCACGAACCAATGAGCCCATGGGTATTCTCACGTAATTTACTCGCAGTCGTCTCGTTGTGAAAGGAACCATTAGAAGCATTTTATATTTGATCTTTTACAGGTTACATGATTGGAAAGCTCCAATTCCCCAATTCCCGACTTCCAGTAATCAAAACGAAATTTGCCGTATTTCAAAAACGGCAAGAGTGGTTGGTATAGGGTTTGAAGCAGGATGAGTCAGGATTATAGCAGAAAAAGCGGGAACTTGTTTCAGCCATTCTGCTTTTATTGTGTTGTTATGTGTGACGTCACCAATCAGACTTAAGATGGCCTTTCTAAGGAGCTTAACTTGTCAGTGGCTTGTTGTGCGACTCAATTTGACCGCATTTTCAGACTCCAGAAGAGAGCTGTTCGATATTCACTGGGACTAAACAGCACAACTCATTGCCGGGACTTTTTTAAAAAATTAAAAATATTGACTCTTCCTTCCTTATTTATATTTGAATCCGTTTGCCTAATACGTAAACATGTATCAGCTTCTCAAGAAAGGCCATCTCACACTTATCCACTCAGGAACGCGGAGCAAGATCTTTATCTACCTACCCCACGCTCAGAGTTAGTTAAAAGTTCAATATTATACAACTCGAAAAAAATGCACAATCACCTGCCATTTGAAATCAAATCCATAACATCATTTTTTCATTTCGCAAAGCATTGAACTCTTATTTACTAGACAAGGCTTTCTACGCCGTAAATGAATTATATTTTGAAAATCAAATTTGATCTTGTAAACACTGGTCTAATGTTTGCTATTGCTATATTTACTAATGACATCGAAATGAATTTATTTAGAGGTCATTGATATTTTACTATAAACTAGCTAAATATTTTTGAATATTATTTTTATTTTTTGTTCTTTGACATTATAAACATTTATAAATGTTTATTTTAACAATAAGACTGACAATATTATTTGTATAATGTTTGTATTATGTTTTGTTTGTTTGTTTGTGTACCTTGTTTTTTTTACTTTGTTTGTTAGTTTATCTTTGTCTACAAATTGAAAAATTTTTTGACAATAAAGGCATTTATTTATTTATATAAACTTGCTGTACCTTAAAAACAGCAAGTGTTGCTGCACTGATAAAAAAGATATACTTGAACTAAAGTCGTCATCGTTCTTGAAAAAAAATTAGTGGCAAGAGAATTTATTTTAGCGTAAAAGAAAATATTTTGCCTGAAGAAAAACTCTCTTAACTCGAGAAAACTGGTTCTCTTGATAAATTTTAGTTGAGTCAATAGTATTCGCTATTGGTTTAAGAAAAGTGTCTCTTTAATCAAGAAATGTCCCTTTTCAATCAAGAATTTTTGCATGAATCAAAAAGACTATTGTTCTTGTAGCAAGAACTTCTTTGCATATTCATTTTAGGTCAAGAATGAAATACTTTGGACAGATAGATTCTTCTATTCTCTAAAGTAATTTTTTAAAGCTTATGAAAAGATAGTTAATGCTTTGGGCAAAGAAACGTCGTTCTTGACCCTATTGAAAAGCGCCAATCTTCCCCGATCTCAATTTTGAATACCTACTTTTTGTAGTTGAATTAAAGGTTGATTATTATTTTTTGAATGATTCAAGATTCGTTTACTGATACATACAAAAGAGCTTCGTAAATCTACTAAATGCTAAATATAGAATTTCCCAATTATGGATCTATAAAAAAATATAAGTCTGTGACCTACCTACAGACTACCTAATTGAAAGAGATTGACATACATATTACGCAGATTGGATACGAACGTTTTAAAAATTTGATTTTGGTTAGTAGAACGAATGCACTGACGCATGACTGTTCCGATTTAAATCCAGAATCCAGGTCTAGCTGGAATAATCTGTAATAAGATTATCAACTGACAAAGTGCCAATTAATGTTTGTATCGAAATAAATGGGACAAACATTTTAATTGACAATTCGGTAGGATTTTGACGAACGTTCAAAAGGGGATTAGTGATAAAACGCTTAATCAGTTCTTAAGCGAATACGAATGTGAATGCGATTATACAGGGTGATCCGAACTGTATTCGGGAAACTTTGACATGAACCCACCATGAATTTTGCGATTGCAAATAATAATGAATGTCAAGAAACTATTGTGTTTTTATCGCTCTAACTCTGTACAAACACAACTGTTTTCTACAGAATGTCCCCGGATTGTCCTTACTACAAGAGAGAGAGGAAATATTTTTTTATTATTGACATTTTGAGAAAAATATATTCTTCATAAAAATTTTTGCTTGTTCTAAAATGGTCCCAAATACCCATACCGTTTTAGAGAAAATAAGAAAAATCATGAAAATGTATACCGGGTGTTGCATCGTCGAGCGGGACATAGAAAATCCCATGTAAATTTTAATGGGGTCAATTATTGACTTCCCTAATTATTTTAGAGAATAATTCTATTTAAGTTTATTGAAGAGCACTAAAACCCACATTCAAAAGAATAACTTTAGATATTTTTGATTAGCCCGTTTACGAGTTATCTCTGATTTCTTTTTAAATATTTCTCCTTTCTTATGGCCCTGTATTTACTTATGAGCACCAGTCAAGGTAAAAGATAACTGTCAAATGAAGTTGTCATTTCAGAAATTTATCTATTTAGTGCTTTATTATTATTATTAAAAACTCATACATACATCGAAAATATTAGCCATGAATTACACTACCGAAGAACAAGTATTGATGATTAAATGGTATTATCAAGAAAATAGTTGGTGTAAAAAGGTGTCGGACATGTTTGCTGCTCTGTATCCGAATAGACCGATACCTGAAAAATCTACAATCGCTAGGAATAACCAGAGATTTGAGATCACCCTAATTGAGGTACCCTAATAAATAACTGCAGATGTGAAGCAAGGCAGGAACAAAGAGAAGATGCAAGAAATGATACCGACATGGAAGTTTTATTGTGCGTGGAAGAGAACGATGGAAAGATCAGCACAAGGAAACTTGAGGATGAAATAGAAATAGATCACACTACAGCGTTTCGAATTTTGAAACGACATAAATACTATTCCTTCAAATATGAAAAGCACCAAGAGCTACGAGATGGGGACGAAATACGGCGGCAGGCGTTTTGTTTTGGTATGATGGAAAGAGCAAATACGGATAGGGAATTTTTAAAAAACATATGTTTCACTGACGAATGCACGTTTACCTTAAATAATGTTACAAAATTATCGATATTGGAACAAAGAAAACCAACACAGGTTTGTCGAAACAAAGACGCAATATCCACAGAAAGTAAATGTTTGGGCAGAGATATTCGGACACAATATTGTCGGGTCATTATTTCTTATGCGAAATTTAAATGCAGAATATTATTTGGAACTACTCGAAAATCATATTTTACCTGCTTTACATGA